GATCTCATTGCGGGGAGTCCTTGGATTTGGGGACTCTTTGGGGCCAAGGTGTGGGTTGGACGGATTGGACCTGAGTGTGGGATCAAGTCGTAGGGTTTGTCTACACATGGCCACGGCCATTGTCATTGATTCCATGGTTTAGTGCAAAACTGGGGGAACATCGTAAGATCCGTGGATTGCCCTTTTTGAGAGTGTCCGCACAGTTGGAAGATCTAGGTCCAATTATCGTCAGCTGATCTCGAACAGCTTGGACCACCAATGGTGGTTGCGGCGGGGGGGAATCCTTCCGAGACGGTCTCCGACCTCTGAAGGTGTTGGGCACCTGGAGAGGTGTTGCGAACGCTGCATTTTTCTGAGGTCGACAACATCTTGAAGCATCCAAAGGAAGAGATGTGCGCCGCTGTTTCACGTGATGTCGTCATGAGAATCACCAACAAATGCAGGCTGGCTTATATATGAGCCACAGGTAGATGCTACGAGCTTGGAAGACCGACATAGTTATCTTCCCAGACCATTCATGTGTGGAATAGTTGCATTATACAACTACAGTTACCCCACCCTACAAGTCCAAAAACCCAGTAAAACCTGGTCTTTTACCTCCCTATGTATTGGTTTTGTATGACCATCTCCAGTATTTCATGAGGTCCAGCTGACTTGGGCCATGGAAAGGACCCATCCATGGTCACTCTTCCTCTCTCTTGGATGGTCTTGAACTCCGAGCTGCGAGGTACCATCAGATCTGGCGCGAGAACCCGGTCTTTCAGAAGGCGCCGGAACCACGGGGAGCCGAACCGCATGGAACCGGCCGTGCTTCGGGCGCCGTTTTCGGGGGTGAACACTGCCCATCTCCGACTACAACCCCGCTCCCTCGACAACACCGAGGGGGATTGGTTTTCGAACCCATCCGCTGACTCAATCATTCGGGTTCGAGCCCTCTGAGGCTCACGAGCCTCTGGGTACGTAGTACAAATTGAGTACGAGCCTTTGAAAGGTTTTTTGAGGTGCGACTTGAAAAGACCTGATGGATGATCTGTCACAACCCTCCGGGTTGGTTGATCCATGTTGATCCGATGATTTGATCCTGTAAACCGCAAGTTGTTTTTAGTCCTGACTAGTTAGGATATCACCTGTTAGATCTTTAAGAAACCAGTTATAACTATACAGTTAGGATATGACCTGTCATAACTAGTTAGGATATAACCAGTCTAGCCTTGGGGCTTCGGTTCACTGAGACAAACACCCGGTCCCGGCTCAGCCGCACCGCGGCTCAGCCCGGACCGGTCACCTTTCACCTTTCGCAGCAGTTCGAGAGGGCCGGACCTTCCCAAGGTCTGGCGAACATACCAGGACACCCGGACCAGGGGTGTCTATTGATAACCCCGAAAAGAGGTTAGTTAAGGGGTGTCCATGTCTACCACCCCGACAGTGGGTCCTAGTATACCTATATATATTTTGATGATGATGGAAGACTGTCATAGTGGTTTCAGAGTATATGGCACAATTCCCCCCATGTTCTTTTTTTTGTAGACCCCCATCTAAAGGACATCGAACGGGGTGCCAGTGCCATCTACTCTGAAACAACCGTAGAGTCCGTATAGTTGTCAAACATTTTCCATTATTTTTAGTTGGCCAACATACCAGTAGTCACAAAGGGGTGGTGTTTAGTCCCCAAGTGAGTGGAGTAGCTGGGCACCCCGAACCTCCATGGATCGCACCCCTAACCTCCACGTCGCTTTGGAGGGGCGCGGATGATATGAGCCAATACGGCTCCCGTGCCTCTTTCCACCGTCGTCGGAGGCCATGGTGGAGAGTGGCCACGAGCAAGACATGTCACTGGGGCAGAACCTGCAGGGCCGAACCCAGGGATTTGGAGATGTTTTTTGAGTCACTTCTGAAGACCAAAGCAATGCCATGGGGGATCCGGACCTAGATTTTTTGGCATGTTGCCATCTTTTGGCATGTTGCCTCACTGGCTTTGTGGATGAAAAAGGCAGGACATAGCTGCCTATAGTTGGAAGATGCAGGTCTGTCATCATCATGTTCGTTGGTCTGCCTGGGGTCCACACGAACAAATCTTCTAAGAGCTGGGACACAGCGAGGAGAGCCTTATTTAGGCGGACAGTCACTTCTGGTTCTAGAGGATTGGGTACCCATGTAATGAATGTAATCAACAGGTTCAAAGCCGAGACTCTACAGCTTTCGCTGTTAGCAAGCAGGCCTTTACATGGTGGCCAAGGCGACTGAAAGCACCGCCGCGACCACGGCGATCCTGTTTGACCCGGTGGTGCCCTCCTGTCCACTTCGACCCAGGCGAGGTCTTCACTTCGAGCTCTTGCTAAACGGGCAGGCGACGCCCGCGCGTTGGCGGCGGTCGCGGCAGGGCAAGAATGCCGATGGGGAAGGGTTGAGAGGTAGGTGCCAATTGATAGGTCGCAACCCAGAACCCTTGGAAGCATTGGATCAATCAATATCTTTTAAAGGAACATACCATCTTCCTGCCTACTAGGGCAAACAGTTCCCGTTTTGAAGAACTTGTCCACAAAGGCCTCCTTTCAAAATCCAGCATATACCTTTGCGCATCCGGAAAGCACCGCCCAAGCCCACATCTGCGGAGTTTGATTTTACTTTCACACATCTCTCACCAAACCCACCGGTGGACACTTCGAAACATCTCGAAACCCTGGCGCTTGGCATGCGCCTGTGCCGGTTTGCGCCTGTCCTGGCCGCCTTCGTCGACCGGAACGGCCGTGGCCGTTCACGTCCACCGATCGCAGGTCTGGGCCTATGATGACACCGCGACGAACCTCCGTTCGTTGAAGGCGTGGCAGTCCACGCCGAGTCCACGCCGAGGGCCGAAGCCGCGGAGAGAAGCCCAGGGGGTGATGGTCTTGGACCCTTTGGTTTGCACAACAACCAGATCAGGATCCAATTGACTCAGAAAGTCAACAGACCCTTGGCTCCGAAGTCAGAACTATCAAGACTTTCGAAGTCAGAACACAGACCTCAGACTCGTCACAGATGACAGGTGGAGACACCACAATGGCGCATCTGCGATGTAACTAACTCCGTTTTCTTGGGGGGTGCGTGGCTGGGGCCCGTCACGGGTGGGATCTTCTTCCGACGCGGGTCCACGCGGGGCATGTTGCGTTCGGATGCGTCCGTTGCGCAGAGGGCAACGCGTTTTGGGACGTGGGGGAGGTAGCTGGTCCAAGAGCCTTTGAAAGACCCTGTGCAGACCATGAGCGGATGATGACTATCAAAAAGAAGGGTTGGACGAAGGGGTACCTGATTTGGGGAACTTCCTTACTTCACCGGGGCAAGTCATATATCATTGAATTCGACTTCTATAGGGCAGACAAATTGCCGGGAGTGCAGACAGACGATGTGAAGACCCCAGTAGCATGAGCTAGTGAAGAAAGGACTTCAGAAGCCAGTTTTTGTTGACTAGTGAAGGCCACTGCCTTGAGTGGCTCTATGTCGACTCCCCTTTCATCACTGATCTCCCAAGAAGGGAAGTCATTGACAGTCCGCTCGCGTCATGCCTGAATTATAGCGGCATCTCACACATCAGGAGGGCACCCAAACGGTTGAACGGACATCTCCGCCCCAGTCTGAGCCGTCTGAGCCACCATTGTTTTACGGATTTTGCACGACAAAACCAGGTCAGCCATGTTAAAAATAGTCTTGGATTTCATTTGATTTCCAGGGTTCCTGTTGATGTTTTTTGTCTTTGGCATTGCAATTAACACCCCAAGCGCCGCCGAGCAACACTGCTTTTGCCTGAAACCGCGGCCAGGGACAGCTCAATGAGCTTCAGAGACGTCTCAAGAAGTTGCGAGAAAATGGCGCCCAAAAACCGCGATGCCTTCGGCAGAGCGAGACTGTGTCTCAGAGACTGGGATTGAACAACGAGGTCCCCAGCATCTTCAGGGGTTGGCAGAGCAGCCTCGAGCTCCTCAGCCTTGAGGTCATGGGTCATTGAAGCATGGAACCTTGCAATGGATGATGTGCTTGGTTTTGCTTAATTAGGCATCTTAGGGCTTATATAGAGTGATCTTGATGTTTTTAACGGCTAATTCCGAGTAATTCCCCTTCTGGGGAATGCTTTCCTCAAGCAAAAGAAAGTTTGAGTGTTTCCAACACTACGAGGCCCCACCCAGTGAGTGGTTAAACCTCATTGACCTTTTGGGTGGGAAAAAAAGGCTTTCCATGAACTCTAGGCTCTAGGCTCTAGGCTTTCCATGTCAACAGAGGGAGCTGCATGAGCTGTCCACCCTCCAGCGTCAGCAGACCTGTCCAACGTCCAACGCCGCTGTCCCTTTCGTGGTGGGGATAAGGAGTGCTTGAACATCCATGACGAGTATGACTCGTACGACGAGTCAGTGAATGAAAACATCTGAAGATCCAACCAGGTGTCTCTACTAGAGGGGGGGTCATTCCCGGAGTCATTCCCCTACTATCATCTTTCATCCTCTTTCATCCTCTTTCATCCTCTTTCATCCTCTTTCATCTTTCACCAGTCTGATGCTCCAAGAAAGGGACAGTAAGGGTACCAGCACCCTATATACTACGTCTGTGTCTCCGAACCGGTGGGGGAGACCCATGGAGATGAAGAACGATGTGGGGTCTCCGGTGGTGACCGGGTTCCAATCGTCAGGTGCTGGTACTGTATCTGACCAGTAGAAGCTGGTCGAGCATCACCCTAAGCTTCTACTGGTCAGATACCAGCACCTGACTCTTACGTAGGTTCCACCGTGCTATGATGATCGATGATCTTCCTACTTTGCAACATTTATGCCGAACGAACGGCTGGTTTTATAACCAGGCATACATTTTGCACAGTCGGAAGATCTATAGGTATATATCTTGCAAGGGTTTATGGCCTCACACCGCCCTTATTGACCAATTCGTCGATCATCGACTCACGGATCATCGACTCACCGCGAGTAGCGCTCCGAGCGAGTAGCGCGAGGGCGCGATCGCGAGTAGCGCACCCGCAGGGCCTGGAGCAGCGTGGCTTCCAAGTGACGAGGCGGATGCTCCGTGGTTGGCAGAACGCGGATGGAACACACAGAGCTTTTGGTCTGGGAAGTGGGGGGGTGGGATGCTCACAGGTCTTCAGGGTGGTGTGTGCCATTTTTTGTGTGATTTTTGTGCATCATTGGCGGTATTTTTGCATGGTTGGGACTTCAATCTGGATGAGCTGGGACAACCAGAGAGAGGGAGAGAGATGAGTGAAAGCAGAATAACAGGAGCTTTAGACATGAAAAGGAGAGCAAGTGGCTTCAGATGAAGAAAAGGGACTGATGCATCATAAGCTTTCATCTCTTCATGTCTCCCTTAACAGCCAATACAATACACGAAGAAAACCTAGGATTCTCCAAACACCCGGGGTTTTGTTGGGAAACCCGGGGTTGTTGTTTTGCATCCTTTTTCAATCTTTTTCATACCCGTTGAACTTTCCTCCGTGGTGGGCCTTGAGTCACTATAGAGCTACCATTCTATAGTAAATTCACTTTTGAAGCCTACCAAATGCACACCTGATTTACTTTCCACGTCTTTTTGTAGGAGGTTTCTTGGAGGCTCACGGGGCGCCATGCATTCTGCAGGTAAAAAAAGGGGTCAAGGCCAACATTTAGTATTTTTTTTCCGAATTTGGACATGTCATTGTGTAAGACAAAACATGTCGAATACCTTATTCTGTAATGACTGTTGTGTGCTACATGTGTTCAAGTGTAGAAGAGCATATTGAAACAAATGCATGTTGAAACATTTTGTAAACATGCAATGCATTTCGCAGCCATTTTGGCAAAGTTTTGCCATGACCTCTGCGCAGAAGAAGAAGAATAGGAGCTGCTTCAATTGATCCGCAAGGACCTTTCCATCGGGAGTGGAGTGCATAGCAAAACACTATGCCGTGACCACCGCGAGCGGAGAAAGAAAACAGACTCCATCCCTCGCCAAAATGACTCCATCCCACGGCTGCTGGAGGCTTAACACCTACACCACTCAGCCACTGCTGCGGCCTACTCCCGAGGCTTTAGCGTGGGTGCCCAGGCGGACCAGTTCTGCTCGGTGGATGGTGGTTCTATTCTGAGGCAACTGTAATCAGAAGTTAGAGTCACGACTTGGAGTGAGGACCCTGGACTTGGAGTGGTGATTTTGTTGGGATGTCTCTTTCATTGGGCCAGCTTTGCACCTGTCTCCAAGCGCCCCCAGCAGTTCCCCCAGGAGTGGTCTTGAGTCCCTTCTTTCAGTGAGTGGATGTGACAGGGGCACCCCGACTACCTCCAAGTGCAGTGCTTTGGAACTGCTGGTATCCGGTATATACCAGGACCCTCCTGGCCAGGCTGGACTTGGAGACCCGACCACAGGTGATTTCTGGGCACCTCTTGTCACCAGGAAGCACCTGTTGGAGGGTTCTTTTTAGAGGTGTTCTCTCCTTTTCTTCAATGGACCTTTGGATTGGTTCAAGTTAAGGGAGAATCTACAGGTAACCACGGTTCTAACCCTGCAAAACCATGGGTTTCCTGTGAAGTTTAGTGCTTGGGACATTTCTGGAATTAGCTGGACACATGGTCCATGCTCAAATCCATTCCTGCATCCACTTCCATCCCCCAGACTCCCAACCACAGACCTCCCACCACCCGTCCCCCGCGTCGGTTTTGGACCGTCGTCTCGGACCGAACCTCCGCCGGAGGCGTTGATGGAAGAGACCTCCATCGCCACCTTCGGCAGCCCCAGCGCGGTCCGCGCATGGAGCAAGGCGTTGGGGCCGGGGAGTGAAGGAACAGCAGCTTGATGTGAAGGAAATCAACCGAATGCCTCCACTTGATTTCGAGTTTCTTCATGTTTCTTCAAAAACAGCAGCTTGACCAGGAGAGCAGCAGGTCTACTCCAACTTTCTTTCCCAATGTGTATGAAAATAGGGAGACCGAGACCTCCCATACAGGCCAAACGACCCCGGTTTGGAAGGCATGAGTGTCCACTCATGACCAGGTGGGTTTCCTCAGCGGCCAGGGAGAGGGCCCCTCCGCTTCGGACCAAGGTGACGCCACACCGGCCGCTCTGTGCCTGCATCGGCCGCTCGGCCCGGAGAGAGACGCGGATTCGCCGGACGCGACGGAACGGGGCCGGGGGGGGCTCGCGGCGGTACCTACGAGCTAAGAATGAAGCTATTAGAAACCAATAGAAACAAGGAAGCTAAGAATTACCAGGAGTCACAAAGGGGTGGTGTTTGGTCCCTAAGTGAGTGGAGTAGCTGGGCACCCATAACCTCCATTAAGCACCCCTTTGTGACTGCTGGTAGTATTCTAATTTAAGTCGAACTTTAATTAGAGCTGAAACAACAAATATTTCCCCGACGATGGTTCACCTGGTCCTAAGAAAGAGAAAGATCCGGGTTCTGGGTTCTGGCGATGTAAAACCAAACCATCACGAACGATCATGGAACATATGTGGATCTTCCAACTAAGCCAAATTTCTGCCTTTTGCTGATTTTATGGATGAAAAGGCATAAATTTGTCACAGTTGGAAGATCCTTATATGTGGGGGTTGGATGCATTCGAGCGCCTGAGATCCTGGGCTCTTCAAACCCAGATAACTTCGCCTCTTCCAAGCTTCGACGGCCACGGTATGGCCGAGCCGGGGCCGAGCCATGTGGCGCGTCTGGTAGGATTGGACTCGGAAGACCCTCTGGAGGGGTGGGAGGGGATCCCAAACTCCAGGTTGTGAGGGACGAGTTTGACGCGTCCATAGGCTGTTTTCACTCAGCGGCAAGTAGTTGAACTACTGCCCGACAAGGAGAAATCCCCAGACGCGGGGAACGGATCGTCTCCATCTGGGAAGGTAAGGATCATTCCAGGCCCAGGTGGAGGATCTCATGTTGGACCTGGGAAAAGACCGGCCAAGTTGGTTTACTCAGTTGTGCTACGATCGAAGCTCCATTTGCTGGGTCAAGCTGCGGTGATTCCATGTGATTCGGATCAAAAAGGTCAACATTCGAATTGAAACAGATTCTCTGAGCGGACAGGTGGCACTTCCCAAGCAGCTGCAGAGGCCAGTGCCATCTACTCTGAAACGAACTGTATTTCTTTTGGTGAAGATCAGCCGAGTTGAAGACTTGAATCGATTCCTAAGGGTGGAACCCCACGTGAACTTCCACGCACTGGGCACCCGCGGTCCAGCACGCGGTCCGCGCTCCGCTTTCTCAGTTGAGCCGATGGATGTCGACTGATCCGGGCGGGACATTGGCAACTGGGAGCCCAGAACCTCAAAAGGACCATCCGCCCATCTTACCCCTTCAATCGGGCCGCCCAACTTACCCGCAATAGGCCTTATATGGCCTTATGAAACGACCTCTTGGAGTCCATGGGGTTTTTTCGACCTCTTCGATCCCGGCGGTCCGACCCGCGTGCCACCCCGGTGACGGCGTGGAGACGCTGCGAGATCGACACCGAGATCGACCGCCCCGTCCGCCACCGTGCCAGCGTGCCACGGCCTTCGCGCGACGCTGCGAAGGCCGAAGGCTTCACCCACATCTTTGCTCCCGAGAGGCGCTTTCGAAACGGTGAAGGCATCCCCGGCCATGCGGCACGAGGTTGGAAGCCACTTGCGCGCCGCATGAAACCACGGCGCGTGGCTTTCTTGGGTGGAGGTGTTTGGACTGGATGCTTTTTGGTGGAGGTTTTCCGGTGAAGAGACGAAGCAATATCGAGGGTTCAGCATCTCCTTTGATTTGTTTGATTCTGCCAGGAGTTCCAACAGGAAGGTGGTGGTGCTTGATTACTGTAATGATTGTCCACACTCAGGGAGAACAATCCATCCCTTTGGAACTCCTTCGGACGGAGAAAAGACACCCAACTTGCAACTGGGACTCCGAAAACTCTACATGGACCCTGACTAACATGGCCTCCTGGAAGATGGTGGATTCCTCTACCAACCAGTGGGACTCTTCCAGGGTATAAACTCACCCATCCTCACTCTTCTCCTGACATGACCCTCCAGGGACAATGACCCTCCTGACCTCCTCACTCTTCTCTACTGGCCTTGTCCCAGGCCAGGGATTTCTGGCTGGGCCGAGGCGGGCCCTAAGGGGAGGGAGTGCGCGACGCTGGTCGGAGTGCGCGGAGTGCGCAGAGTCCCGTCCCAGGCGCTGGCGCGGGCGTCACAGCGCCGGAGCTCACGCTGTCGGGTTGGCCTTCGGCCCCCCCTCCGTCGGGGATGTGACGTTCGGGGCACCCTGCACTCCTTCCTCCTTCCTCCAGCACCGGCACCCCCCGACCTGTTTTTCTCTACCCTCCACAGACTGTTGATCGTCGGGGGGTCGGCAATTGGGTCGGAGCCGCCGGTCGTGGGCCGAAGTTGACGGGTTGAGCAAAAAAAAACAAGCCACGCCAGGGTTCGACGACAGTGACGACATAGTGCATGTTTTGCACAGGAAAACGGTTTTGCCAGCAAGTCACTGCTCATCCAATTCAAATGACTCATGTGATTTTGTGACATGGTCATTGTGGGGTTGCATTGGTCAAACGCCGCAAGAAGCAGCTCAGACGGTCCGCATCTAGGTCAGCTTTGCTGACATTCGTGTCAGGATGGCGCGAACCAGCTGGTACGAGATGACCTTCACATCAAATGCCGAGACTATGGAGGAAGACCCCTTTACGGCTACCCAAGAGGCAGAAGCAAATGCAACAAATGCTTATGAGGCTCAGGAAGCTCATGAAGCGGACGAGCCAAGAGACACACCGCTTGACCTGGCTAGAGATGCAAGGGCCTTGCATGAAAACGGTACATGTGATCCATGTGTCTTCTTGGCTTCGGCTCATGGATGTTCCAAGGGGTTGGACTGTGAATTCTGTCACCTGCACCATCCAGAGGCCAATTCATCCAGCTTCACCCGCCCAAGGAAGGAGCGTCGCATGAGGATGAAGCGGCACATTCTGCAGCATCTCCAAGGACCCGATCCAGATGAAATGCAGCAAGCCTTGCAACGAGAAGCTCGACGCAGTCCGTATATGCGCTTCATCATCCCATCCCAAATCAATCTGCAACTTGGGGAGCCTCCTCCTGCTCTTAGAAGTGATGATATGTAAGGACACCAGCGTCACGAATGCGCAAGTACCTGTGTGCTGCCGAGTTCTGCAAGTCCTGGCAGTGAGTGCAGCGCACACCGTGTTGCCTTTGCAGTGACGTGGGGATCCTTGACAGTTTTGGACAGCAGAGCATCAGTTGTATGCCTTTGCTGAGCTGGGCCCACGCAGGGGCCTGCTGTACATATCACATTGACCGGGGATTCTCGCATTCTAGTGTCTATGGGATAAATGTAAACTCATTGCAAGCCACCATCACAAAAGAAAGGATTAGTCGGATTGGCCAACCAAGTCGTAAGCGAGATCCTGAGCGTGTCAATCGACCATCATGTCGTTGGCCCTTTAGGTGGCGTCGGGGTGTATCCTTGCGCCTTTTGGTGCCTGACCAAAAGAACCCAAGTCACAGATGTGGCAAAAAAAACTGTCCTCACTTGTGCAAATTTCAGTTGCGAGAGTTGTATGACAAGAATTTCTGGGTGTTTAACAAGATGATACAACTCTGTTCGATCAGAATATTTTGGACGGAGGGTTCTTTGGAGAGATGCGACATGACTTGAGGCTCCTGACATTGGATGCTTCTTCATCCGATTCAGTTTCACAGTAGTTTGAGTGCCTTGTACTGTTCTGTCGGCGCTTTCTATCATGTTCTATCTAGCTTTCTTCTTCTTCTCCCAGAGCAAATCTCCTATGTAGATTTTGTGACTGATTCTCCAAAGGCGACCGAACAGAGCTGCAATATATTTGCGAGACTGAGCATAGTTGATATGCTGAAAATCCTGCTCGAACGGCGATGTGTTCCCAATTTGGGTTCACCAAAGCAGATCCTGAAGCTTTTGCCACCTGCCGCAGTGGAAGTGGACCTGTTGGTGGATAAGGATTTTCCTCGGCAACAAATGCTTGGTTTTGCTTCGGGTGATGGTTATTTTCCATAGGTGAATCCCCTCCCTTGCGGACGCTCTTTGATGCAAATCCAAGTATCCCAGACTGAGACTTGGTTTAAGGGACCAATGACCCAGGAAACCGTGCTTCTCCTCGCAACAGCGATAGGTTTCGTCCCAAAAACACGGATCCTTCAGGTACTGCGGAAAGATCCTATGTTCTCCTTCCATTCCCATTCCCACCGGGTGCTTCACCCATTTCTCGTTGCTTCGCGAATGGGGGCCGCCCGGCCAGGTCACAGTGACGGCGGTGAAGTCGTTGGGCGGTGAGCGGGTGTGAGCGGTGAGCGGCGCGGCGACCGAGGAGGAGAAAAAGGGCGGAGAGGGTGCAGCTGGTTTCGGGTACGAGGGAGGGAGTTTGGGAGCTTTCTTTTAGAGGTTTTTCCTGACCCTATGCGGCGGGGCTGGTTTCTGGGGAGGTGGCTTGCTGAAGAACTGGATTGAGACGACATATAATTAAGCATTTGCAACAATACATAATATATAGTATTATGAGACTATAATAGGACATAAGAACATATATATATATATATATACCTGGAACCCCACTGACCCCTGTTTTGATAGGAAAAGGCCATATTTTGGGTGGTTGGTGGTCCAAAATAGAGGTCATTCAGGTTCTAGGTATATATAGGATCATATAGGATCCTCAAAGGGACTAGGCGACTTGCTGTCAAACGAAACCACGCTCGGATCGATTTACACCGCTCGGTGTGGACGTTCGGCTCAAACAGCCTTCGGAACGCAGAAGACGCGATCTCTGACGTTTGGTTTCTGGAAGCGTGAGTTTCCTGCCCGTGTTCTTCCGTGCTCCTCAGCTGCTTTGCTTGGGGCCAGCGTTACCCAACGGAGGGGTTCCGAGTGTTTTTTCACATGTCGGGAAGCAGATCAACCGGTCTCATTCGATCCTGGTCGCGCCATCCGAAGGCTCCATCCGACGTGATCATCCTTTATGACCACTGAGACCGGCTCCTGACGTGTGCTTGTAAAAAAACATTCTTCACTTGAGGTTTAGGGGTTTTGTCCTGTGTGGTCACCACTGGCCGAGAAAAAAGAACTATGCAGGTCGATTAGCTTGCATGTCCCAAACAGCTCTCACCTGGTACAGCTTCAGCTGTCTCAAAACCACCTTGAACCCCCACTTCAGTTTGCTGGACCATCAGACCTCAGCCAAACAGGCAGACGAATTCACAACCAATGGCCGCAGGTGCTTTCTCCACGCCATGGGACAAAGGGTGCATCGGATCTGGGACTGATTCACTTCCAAACTGCTCCCAGGCACAACAAGGTGGTACCAGCCCAAACTCCTTCGTTTTCCCTTGGTTTTTGGCCAACTCCTCCAGGCACAACAAGGAGCGGAGTCTTCTTTCTTCCCGCGGTTCCGAACCCGAAGATCGGTTTGTACAGCCGTCACCAGTCCCGCCATCTCCACAGCCATGTCACCACGCATGGACTCGTCCTCCGTTCGAACCACGCCACCGAGGTGCCTTCTGGACGAGCCGTGGAGCCGTCCCAGGCTTCGTGAGCCCGGCAGGTGCGAGGTTTGGGCTCGAGCTTGAAGCCGGTATATCATGGGTATATCTGGTTTGATCATGGGTATATTTTCTTTTGGAATTGAGCTCGAAAAGAACCATGATCTGCTAGACCGGTGTATTTCGAGCTCAATTCCAAAACAAGATATACCCATGCACAAACCGGCTGGTTCCTTTGGGAACGACACAGACCGAAAGATGAGAAGCTTCCGCAGCTTCCATGGCTTCCGACCAGTCTTCCGAACCGGAAGCCGCCGACCAGGTTTCATTTGTTTCATGCATCTAAATCATCTAAGAGTTTTAGACTTATAGATGCATTTGTATGCGTGATTTTTTCCAGCATCCCGGTGCTGGAGAGTACTGGAGATGGCGGAGAAAACCTGACTTCAACATCAATCGTTTCTACATGCTCTCCGTAAGACCAGCGATTCCTTGTTTTGCGAGCCTCCCTATACTCACTTATTGAGCCGGAAACAGCGCCCAAGATTCCGCCAGGTCTCCTATGATCCACATGCTGGGGACAAGCGGAAAGTCCTCACCCTTCGAATACCATCCTGACATCCTCACACGTCTTGTAGACTTCTCCAGGTCGAAGATTGCAAACGCCATCCAGGCGCAGAGTGGGACGGGATTCTGCAGTGGTGAATTGTGGTGACGCGGGACGTGGGTATGTGCCCAATCACAGCTACCTCCGCAGATGTTGAAGTTGGTTTATTTTGGTCGGATCGTAGAGTTGGTATTGCTATGCAGAGATTCGGCAGTTGAATCCGGCACAACTTCGGAGACTTGAGTGACTTTTGTGCTAGGCTATATTCATGTTTTGCAAGGGTAAACTGAAGCTTAAAGTCACTGCTCGTCCAATTCAAATGACTCATGTGATTTTGTGAGGTTGTCATCGTGGGGTTGCATTCTTCAAGTGCCGCAAGAAGCAGCTCAGACGGTCCGCACCCAGGTGAGCTTTGCTGACATTCGTGTCAGGATGGCGCGAACCAGCTGGTACGAGATGACCTTCACATCAAATGCCGAGACTATGGAGGAAGACCCCTTTACGGCTACCCAAGAGGCAGAAGCAAATGCAACAAGTGCTCATGAGGCTCAGGAAGCTCATGAAGGGGACGAGCCAAGAGACACACCGTTTGACCTGGCTAGAGATGCACGGGCCTTGCATGAAAACGGTACATGTGATCCATGTGTCTTCTTGGCTTCGGCTCATGGATGTTCCAAGGGGTTGGACTGTGAATTCTGTCACCTGCACCATCCAGAGGCCAATTCTTCCAGCTTCACCCGCCCAAGGAAGGAGCGTCGCATGAGGATGAAGCGGCACATTCTGCAGCATCTCCAAGGACCCGATCCAGATGAAATGCAGCAAGCCTTGCAACGAGAAGCTCGACGCAGTCCGTATATGCGCTTCATCATCCCATCCCAAATCAATCTTCATTTGGGGGAGCCTACACCTGCTTCCACGAGTGATGATAATATGTGAGGCAACCATCGTCACAAATCAGTGAGTACCTCTGTCAGATCCAGAGCATCTCGGGGGCACTCTTGTAACACAGCGTTCCGACTTTAACAGTTTTTGTCTATCCAGCATCAGCCAGGCCCACTGGCCGGCGGGTAATATGACGTTGACCAGGGATTCGCACAGCATAGTTGAAATGAATGCAATTAGCTTGTTTCAACCAACCATGACAGGAGAAATGATTAGCACAGCAAGGCAACAAGTCATAAGCGAGATCCTGAGCGTAGAAATCGACCTTCCATGTCTTTAGGTGGCCCCTTTTGGAGCCAGACCAAGAGGACCCGAGTCACAGCTGAGGTGGCAAAGAAGCTTGCCTAACAATTTCATCTGCGAAAGTTGTATGACATGATGAAGTTCTAGGTGTTCAAGTGTTCAAAGAGTATCAACAAGTAGTACAATTCAAGCACTGCCGTTGGATTCTTCTTCAACAATCTCCATACTTTTAAGAGAGGGTTTCTCGCGGACATGCGAACTGGCTGCTCGTCACATGTAATCTTTTTAAAGGTCAGTTTCACCTATAGTCTGAGTGCCTTGTACTGTTCTGTCGGCGCTTTCCTTCTTCTTCTTCTCCCAAAGCAAATTTCCCATCCAGGTTGTTTGTCCAGATTTTGTGACTGATTCTTCTCCCGGCGACCGAACAGAGCTGCAATCTATTTGCGACCGAACTGAGCAGAGTGATGCTGAAACTCCTCGATCGGCGACTTGTAGAGGGGCCGATCCGATCTGGGTCGACACAGACATCAGGGCTTCGACGCAGCCAATGACCAGTCACACCTCGGTGGAACGCACAAGAATGTCATCAAACATTTGCTGGAATCACGCGCAGGGAGGACAAAAAGGAGCCAAGGCACCACGGGTTTTCATTCTATACACCTGACAGGGTTATGGAAGACAGTTTTTTTCCCGAATGCATAGCGAAGGTTCTCGTTTCACTCTGGGGGCCTGGGGGTAGAGCCTTGTTCACGACTCATTGTCTGAGCAACCGCAACCGTTCGCAGTAGGGCGCTATGGCGCCTCTTTTTCTTGGGAAGCGTTTGGAGAGGGCTTTGGATGGAAGCATGACGTGTCAGGTTCGTGCGCAATAGCGAGGACACGTGTGGAAACATGAGATGTTGAAGTGTGGAGGATGATTTCACTGCGCAGGCGCAGCGTTTTGTGAGATGGTTTCTGTGCAGTCACACATTGGGATTGGCGTTTCGAGGGTTGTGTTTTTGGGGTGTTGGATGTCGCTGTGACATTGGGGTTGCGTTTCAGGCTGTTGCTTCGAAGCTGTGTTTTGGTGACAAGTCTCAGCTTAAGTGGTGGCTTTGGTGGATGGGAGTGTGCTCAGAACGTGTCGAAATCATTCCAAACGTGTGGTGTGGTGCAAATTCAACTTTGCTGAAGCTAATATGATCTGATATAGCCACTTTTCGTGGCAGGCGCAGTAGCTGGTACAGGTATTGAGGTGTGGATGTGCAATGTTCGTGGCAGTCGCAGGGAATCGTGAGGTTGCGAGGTTTGGCAGAGGTCACATGGTGCGGCTGGCACAGTACTTTGTGCGTGTTGGAGGCGTGCAAATTTTCGTGGCAGGCGCCGGGAAACGTGAGGTTGCGAGTTGTGGTGGAGGTGACTGTCGCTGTGACATTGGGATTGGGTGTGAGTGGGTGTTGTCTGGAGGGGCTGGAATCGTAAAACTGCTTGGCAGGGCTGCTTGATGTGTGTGCTCCGATGGGGCTCCCCGCTTGACTTTTGGAAGAAGTCTCGAACGAAATGCTCGTTTTGGAGACTTTGACATGCGACTTTTGGAGGAAGTCTCGTACGAAACGCGCGTTTTGGAGACTTGGCGAGTGAATGTTGGAAGAAGTCTCGTACGAAATGCTCATTTTGTAGACTTGACGCGTGACTTTTGGAGGAAGTCTTGTGCGAAACGCTTGTTTTGGAGAACTTGACGAGTGAATTTTGGAAGAAGTCTCGTACGAAACGCCAAGGTTTTGCAGACTTGCCTGACGCGTGACTTTTGGAGGAAGTCCAACAAGAGTGTCCCGCAAGAGTGCACCGCAAGAGTGTCCCACAACAGTGTCCTTTTTCAAGAGTGTCCCACAAGAGTGTCCTACAAGAGTGTTCCGCAAGAGTGTCCCCCAAGAGTGTGGCATGTGAGTGTCCCACAAGAGAGCCCCACAAGAGTGTTCCGCAAGAGTGCCCCACAAGAGTGTCCGACAAGAGTGTCCTACGAGAGTGTTTGCAAGAGTGTCCCACAAGAATGTCCGACAAGAGTGTCCTACAAGAGTGCCCCACAAGAGTGTCCTGCAAGAGTGTCCCACAAGAGTGTCCTACAAGAGTGTCCCACAAGAGTGTTTTACAAGAGTGTTCCGCAAGAGTGTCCCACAAGAGTGAGTGTCATACAAAGTGTCCCACAAGAGTGCACAAGAGTGTCCCACAAAGGTTTCCGTAAAAAGAATACGTCCTACAAGAGTGTTCCCTACAAGAGTGTCAATAGTTGTTTGGGTGCTTGTTTTCAAGTACGTGTTTGCATTCGGGTTCGTGGATTCCAGTTTGTTCTTTTAGAATTTTAACAAAATGGGGGGTAGGGCTCCCTACCTAGAAGTCTTTGCTAAAGAGCCAGAGTTTTGCAACACCAGGAAACAGCACACAAGATTCTGCCAGGAGTTCCATTCATTTTTGGGTGCCCATTCTCCTATGATCCACATGCTGGGGACAAGCGGAAGGTGCACTGTTCGAATACCATCCTGACATCCTCACAAGTCTTGTAGACCTCTGCAGGTCGAAGATTGCTGGCGCCGCAGGCGCAGAGTTTTCGGATTCCGCGGTGGAAGCTGGTGATCTGTGGTGACGCGGGACGTGGGGATGCGCGCAATCACAGCTACCTCCACAGATGTTGAAGTTGGATTGTTCTGGTCGCAGAGTTCACGCTCTGCAGAGAGTCTGTGGCCAGTTGTGGCCGGTAAAGCGAGAGCGAAAGACAATGGACTTCGGCGGCTTTTAGTGCTAAACATTCATGTTTTGTGCAGGAGAACTGAATCATGGCGTATGATTGTACTTGTACACTTTTTAAAAGCCCCATGATGGCTCATTGCATTTTGTGAAATGGTCATTGTGGGGTTGCAGTTGTCAAATGCCGCAAGAAGCAGCTCAGACGGTCCGCATCCAGGTCAGCTTTGCTGACAGTCGTGTCAGGATGGCGCGAACCAACTGGTACGAGATGACCTTCAACTCAGATGCCGAGACTTTGGAGGAAAACGTCTTTACCCAAGAGGCAGAAGCAAATGCAACAAGTGCTCATGAGGCAGACGATCCAAGAGGCACACCGTTTTCACTGGCCAGAGATGCAACGACCTTGCATGAAAATGGTATGTGTGATCCATGCGTCTTCTTGGCTTCGTGGATGTTCCAAGGGCTTGGACTGTGAATTCTGTCACCTGCACCATTCAGAGGCCAATTCATCCAGCTTCTCCCGCCCAAGGAAGGAGCGTCGCATGAGGATGAAGCGGCAGATTCTGCAGCATCTCCAAGGACCCGATCCAGATGAAATGCAGCAAGCCTTGCAACGAGAAGCTCGACGCAGTCCGTATATGCGCTTCATCATCCCATCCCAAATCAATCTTCATTTGGGGGGAGCCTACTCCTGCTTCCACGAGTGATGATAATATGTGAGGCAACCATCGTCACAAATCAGCGAGTACCTCTGTCAGATTCAGAGCATCTCGGGGGCACTCTTGTAACACATGTTTAAACTTTAGATAGTGCTGCAAGTCATGGAGCGACGGGGTGTGTCCACAGCGCACCTTGTTCGCACCGGGGCAAGCAGCAGCCTTGTGCAGTGCAGGGCAAGAGGCCAAGTCTTTTTGTGTGCTGCCAAGTTCTGCACGTGATGGCAGTGCGTGCAGCGCACAGCGTTCCGCCCTTGACTTGTTTGTCTACCGAGCATCAGTTGTATGCTGTTGCTGAGCTGGGCCCACGGCGGCCTGCTGTTAATATCACTTTGAACAGGGATTCGCACAGCCTAGTGCCTGGAATGAATACAACTATAGATACAATTAGCTTGTTTCAACCAACCATGACATGAAACATGATTAGCGCAACAAGTCGCAAGCGAGATCCTGAGCATGGCAATCGACCTTGCATGTCGGTACAAATTTTCACTTGCAACAGTTGTAATATGACAAGAAGAAGCTCTGGGTGTTGGCCAAGAAGTTATCTCATTATGTCTCCGAGTTTTTTTTACGTAACGTTTTGATCAGAATGTGTGGGGATTCGAGGGTTCTTGAGGGAGACATGGACAATAAGTTCTATTTGTTGGTACAGATGCCTTGGGGTGCTGCTGGTCACATTGACTGCCTCGAAGCGGCCGCCGCCACGCCACGGTGCCGAAGAAAAGGCACCCGCAAACACGAGGACCTGGACACCCAGTCCCGAGCTTGAGGTTCTGGCTGTTCGGAGCTTGAGATCCACATCAGTCTGGTCAAACCTGTCGAGTTCCGCAGTTCCCGGTGGTTCCCACATGGGCTGAGTTCGCTCGTTTCGCTCGCTCGCATGGACCCGCTGAACCCGCTTTTCCGCTCCCATGGACCGAAGGAGGACCGCCCGCTGGCTCAGCGGCCTCGGGGGAAAAGGAGCTGTGCAGACGGTGCCGAACACACGGTGCCCAACGGTGCCAGACGGTGCGAGAGGTGGAAGAAGCTCGATCCCTGTTGACATGATGACATCCTGGATCTGACCTGCCTATGCCAAATGTCTGCCGACCTTGGTTGATCTTTATGGACGAAGTTCGGCAGAGAGATGGCACAAGTAGGTCAGATCAATGATATATACCTTCCCACGAACACATCCCATGATCCGGAAGTGGAACAAAGATCCCCTGCTTCTGAAAAAGTCATCCCATCGGGGCTGCCATCCACGTAGTCACCGGATGCGTGTCCCATTCGTGTGTCGTCCTCACTCGTCCTCACGGCCAATCCTATTGGTGGAAGACGCACGAACGTCCAGGGCGCCAGAGGGGGAGACCGTTCACCCTTTCACCACAGAGCACGTACTCCCAAAACGCTGGTGCTTTCGAACCAAAGAAGGAGCTCGATGGTTTGGGATGACATGCAGGCTCATGGAGGCCACGAAAATCCTACGAAATCACAGCGCCCATCTCGTGCTTTCGAACCGGATTCAAAGGACTGTGGGCTTTGGGGGTACACGGCAAGAATATAGCAGAATGATATACTGCAAAGGATTCAAAAGCCAAATTCTCATCTGGCCTCCAAATGGAGTCTCTCAGTGATCGGCCTTGTTGCAGGCCAAAGTCCTCAACTGGGATCTCAAGTTTTTGACCACTTTGAAGGTTCTGGCACGGTTGAAGATACCCAGACCATCCATGGGACCAATAGTTACATACATTGACATGAAAACTCGTGAAAATCACCCTAATGAATGTCAGCAACTTTTCCAGTCCCATGCCGGGTCCAGGACCATCCGTTTCTCGGATGTCCTCAAAGGCCCCAACGACCATTCTCAGGAAGCACTTTCACCTCCAAGACCATCCTCAGGATGGTCCTGGACCCTTAGGGATGGATGGTCTGGGGATG